CAGGGAGAAGGTGCAGTCTGTCTGCAGAATCCACATTTTTAGCATAGAAAAAAAAAAGCTGCAATGGAACCGGGCGGTGGTAGGCAAGTGGGACAGAAATCCTGTGAATAGCAGTGTTACCAGAAAACCACACTGAGCCCTCGGATTCGGCATCTGCGAGCGTTTTAGGTGTTAGCGTTGTTACTAAAATCGCCCGAACAGCGATGCAAGAGCTCACACCCCACGGCCCGTGGTGAGGTGGGACTGAGCACAGAGCTGGGCTCAAGCCCCCAGCGTCACCTGCTGCCTGAGCTGGGCTCTTGCCTGTCTGACAAACTGCACGGGCCCGTTTCTGAGTCCCTGAGGAGGCCGTGCCTAAGGGATGGCCAAGGAATACCTTTTCCTTTCTTTTCTCTCTCCTTCCCTTGTCCCAGAGACGCAGAGGGCAGCGACTCCCACGCCCGAGGCCACCCTCAGGGCCTCGTCCCGCCCAGAATGCAACCCTCTTCTCTGCACTCCGCACCAGCCCCGGCGTCAGGCTGCTGAGACTCCCGCGGTACAGCCGGGTGCACACGGGTTTCCACAAATAGCTATTTATTTGCTTATCTGCAAAGAAGGGGAGGGGGAGGTACAAAGTGATCGAGGACAAAATCAATTACTATTTTTCATCTTTGACAAAGTAATTAAAGCCGTAGTGACTGGCTAATTCCAACCACACGGCTCCGCGGTGATGGATGTGGATTTACAGCCGCCTTGGCTGCCGCGCGCGGGCCCGGATTATCACACGGAGCAGGCGGTGAGGGCTACGGACGTGGCCCCAGCTTCTACCCAGCCAGCCTCTGCTTTTTTTTTTTTTTTTTTTTTAAATACAGCAGCTCCAACCTCTGCACTTCGCAGGCACTGACACCTAGGCCCACGCACGACAAACTCCTTCAGGCTTGGGCCCTGCTCCTCGCACGATCTTTCCCTCCCTCACACCCGAGATGCGGCCGCTGCACCCGCGCTGGCCTCAGAGCGACCCCTCCGGACGTCAGCTCCGACTTCTACCTCCATTGCCTTCCCGCCCCTCCTTTCTAGAATCCTGCGGCTGAAGGAGGGGGGAGGGGGGAGATGCAGGGAGCGCGCGGGGCCTCCACCAACCCCGCAGCTTGTCCTGCGCGTCACCAACCTCTGCAGGGCATGACGCGCGGCTCCACGCGGGAGCCTGAGTGCGCACTCGGCCAGGAGGGTCAGCGGGCAACACGTCAGCCCTGGAGGCTGCGCGGGGGCGCTGGGCGTCACTACTGGGCAGGGTCGCAGATGCGGGAGGTGAGAAAGCCGGCACGACTCCGCCCCCCGCCTGCCCAGCCTGTGGGCCTCGGCGGACGCTCTTCCTGCTCTCGGCCCTGTGCGGGGGCTGCTCGGATGCAAATCTGGAGACTGTCCAGACCTTTCAGAGTCGTGACTGTCCCTGTCGCAAGGCCGTCCAGAGACTGCAGAGGGAGCCCACAGTGAACTGGGGGTGTGCTCCGTGGCCCCAGTCTCGGATGCCAGGGCCTGGCCGACCTGCCTTGTACAGTTCTCAGACCCGCTTCGCTCCTTCTTGGTAATTGGGGTCCGCTTGGGAAGAAGGACCCTGCAGGATCCCTGGTGCCAAGAGGCGGAAGGTGTTTGTTAGTGGCAGCCCGACTGGAGCCTTTGCTTCTGTGCCTTCCCGTCCCCACGTGCCCCCCTGCCCTGAGTCCTCTCTCACCAGAGGCCACCTGAGCCCCTGCACTTTATTTCTGGGCCTCGCCAAGTCTCCCTCCCTGTGGGAGCTTTGCTCTCAGAGTTTCTGAGCCTCAAGTTCCATAGATTTAAAGCGAGATGAAAGGAGAGGGATCCACAAAGAATCAAGAGGCAATGTGCCTATGTAGCAGTTCTGCACGGTGTATTGCAAATATATACGAACACAAAATTTTTAAAAAACAGAATATATTGGGATTATTTCTGAAGGCCCTAGTCAATGTCAAATGTCCTGGTGCCATGGAAACCCCTTGCACATGGTCCAACACTGAGATCTCAGTGTTAATTCAAAGCTACAATTAAAAGTAGCCTGAAAATGGCAAAGCAACACGAAGACAAGTGTCCACAGAAAACCCTCACCTCCCACTTCCAAGGACCAAGGGGTCCCTAGCTGGTGGATTTGGAGGGGAGGGCTCGCCAGCATGCACAGGCACTGCATGTGCTTGCCGGCACTGTCTCTGGTGGGCTAGGAGGTGAGTGGGAGGAGGACCCGCAGTGTCCCAGGCACCCACTGAAATCTGCGGTCTGCCAGCGCAGCTTCTGCCAGGGGCCATCGTGTGCTCCCCCAGCTTTTAGACTGCCCAGTGGGGTGCAACGGCGGTGAGGACCCCGAGGCGGTGGAACGGGTTGCCGTAGCAGCAAGGGACACAAAGCTCTCTGTAGCTTCTCATCCCAGAGGCCCAGGCTTCCTGAACTAGTCAGGCAAAACAAGAAGGGAAGCATTTTCTCGAGAATCCCCTTCTAGTAGACATTTTCAGAAAAGTGTTTTCTGTGTGTGTGTGTGTGTGTGTGTGTGTGTGTGTGTGTGTGTGTGTGTTTTTTAATATCACCCATTGCTTTGTAACAGCAGGAATGTTCATCTTCTAATTGCTGTGGTCAGCCCCAACCCCAGTGCGGTACGGTTGATGTCCTTCTCCTGATGGCTTTCCAGATGGACAGCCCTGCCCACTGATCACTGGGGCTCCTGATTTGGAGGAGGTCTAAGTCTGTGTTCTCAAACCAGATCTGCTCTGTTGATTTTTATTAAGAGGGTAATGAAGAAAGAATGGCTTTTCTTTGACTTTGCAAAGGGCCTGAGAATCGGTCAATGTTGCAAATAATTTCCTTCTGATTTCCCTTAAATGTTTTCAGGAGAGTCTTAAAACACAATAAGAACATCCAATTATATTCAGGTTTTTTTCTTAATAGAATTAACACAGATGAAATAAGAATGTAAATACCAGATCTCAGTTTTTAAGCAAGAATCCAGAATGTCCCCCAAACTGGTTGCCTGGGATGGTAGGGAGGTAAGAATTGGGGATTTGCACACAAACCAGGCAGGCACAATCATGTCAATGCAGGACCTGTGCCTATGGCAGCCCTTGTAGAACTTCAGGCTAAGTGCTAACAGACCGTACATGGCTTTCTGGTTAATATTTTAGAATCTGCCGAAGATGGGGGAGACAGCATCAGAATTTATTGGAGGAGAGAGAGAGAGAAACATCTTAGTCCCCTCCTCCACCTCTACCCCAATCCTGTCTTCTGGCGGCTGCGCGATGGAGCTGCCTTGGGTGCAGTGGGACGTGTCCCTCCCATGTTTCCTCTAATTAGGAGGAGGTAGAATTTTGTCCTCCCCTCCCCTCAGGTTTGATATAGTAATCAACCCCACATGAGTCACGACAAACACGCAGCCCCCTCCTGCCCTGGTGACGACTGGCCAGCGTACTCTAGGCTGTTGTCCCTTTAAAACTCGAATCCAAAGGGGTAATGATTTATCAAACTTGTATTATCAAGAAGATGTCAGCCGAAGGGCACCTTGCCTTGCACTGACGCAAACCTGGCCTTTCCCAAGGAGATATAGAAAGCGCTTCTGCTGCCAGAGCCAAACCAGCCTCTTCAGTAGTGGGTCTCACTCCCTGAGTTCCATCTCTTGCCAGTGCCAGTGTGGTGAGTGTTGGCTTGTGTTCTTCTAAGAGGAAAGGGGGCTAGTGGGATACGAAGGGGATATTTGGATATTTCTTTTTGAAAAGTCTGTACATTGGGCAAGAGGGAGCAAGGAGGATATTGCTTGAAGCTATAGTTGTGTTTGTTTTTGTGATTGCCCGTTCGAAGTCAGAAAGGTTTCCCAGGCCATAGAATTCAAGGGCGCTGGGCTCCCAATGACTGGACCCTGAGCGCTGTCCGTGGTGCTGAAACGCCCGCCGCCCTTACTCGGGCGAGCCTGCGGCTAGGGAGACAGATAGCAGGCATTTTCTGAGTACTTAGATTTGGTGCAAATCAGAGCTCTGGTCAGGACATTTGGAAAAGAAGTTAGACGGAAAGCATGGAGCTGAGGTGGCCGTACTATGATAATTCTTATAGTATGATAATGATTGTTAAGGTTTATGATAGGAAGCCCTGACAAGTAACACTTGCACTGGAAAAACCAGGGCTAGTGATTCTTTTCATTCGAAAGTTGATCAGGAGAAAGCAGTTGAAAATTATTTTCCAGTTCTTGTCAAGTGTAGGGATGCGGAGGATGTTAGACTACGTTGAGGAGCAGAAACAATTGAAAAACTTTGCCTGTGCTTATCCATTCCCGGGGAGCTGGGAGTCAGTGTAGATTGTGTACGATAAACATAAACTACTACATAAGCTACTATTTTCTAAATCTGGTTTATTGTTGCTGATGTCCGGTTTTGTTGGTGTTTTGATTTCGGCCCTCAGGCTTGCCTTTGGTACCTGGCAGGCAGGATGGGTTTGGAGCGAAGGGATTCTCACAGCCCATGTGGCCTCGAGCACTCTCTGGTGCCAGGATGTCAGTTTTGTGGCCACAGCTTGTCTACTGGGAAAAAATGCAATGTGCATTGTTGAATGACAAAGGAAATGGGGCGGAAAATTAAAGAATCTTTCTACAATGGTGGTGGGGACTTTCGTACCCCACAGCCGTGATTTGAAATCCAAAGAGGGCAGGAAGTCGTTGGCTTTGTGGGACTGTCTTCACCCAGGTCTTCCCCTCCTTCAGGAAACATTTTTGCCTCTTTTCTTAGTTCATCTTCCATCAGGGAGGTATCATCCGTGTTTCCGTATCACCTGATTAGGAAGGAGACTGGAAAATCGAGAACTACCGATTGCAGTGGTGAAAGAAAGAATAAAATCCCGGTTCCCTCTGCAAGCCGAGATAGGTCTTGGACCTGAGTTGTGAACGTTTCCAAGGGCAGACAGATATTTTTTAAGTCCCCGTGCCTTTTTTTTTTTTTTTTTCTTTGCACGAACTTAACGTTGTGTTTGCAGGATTGCCGCGCTCCCAAGGATATGAATAAGCCACCAGCCAGCAGCCTGGAGGCCGCGGCGCCGGGCCACCGGGCCAGCCCGTGCGCACCCCGGACGAGCCCGGAGCAGGAGCTCCCCGCGACCGCTGCGCCGCCAGCACGTGTGCCCAGGTCCGCTTCCACCGGTGCGCAGACTTTCCAGCCCGCGGACACGCTACCCTGCGAGGCCGAGCGGCAGGGAGTGGGGTTCTGCGAACTTAGTACCCCGCGGGCGCAAGCGGCCTCGGCAGCCCTGCGGCGGGACTTACCCGAGGACACGCCGGCTTCTGGGACCCTTGGGGCCGGCAACGCGCTGCACTGTAAGATCCCGGCCCTGCGCTGCCCCGAGGGGGACGCAGAAGGGAGTGCAGGCAAGGGCACGCTGGAGCGGAACAGCACCGCGGCCGTGGGCTGGGTAAACATGAGCCAGAGCACCGTGGTGCTGGGTTCTGACGGAATCGCTTCGGTGCTGCCCGGCAGCGTGGCCACCGCTGCCGCCCAGGTAAGCAGGGCGCACGGGTCTGTGCTGCCTACTGCTCCAGCGGCCGAGGGAGGGGAGCCGGCCGAGGGGTGCACGTCTGCTGCCGGGAGTGGGATGCAGTGTCCGGGGTTGGCAGCGTCCGGGGTTGGCGGATGCGGGACGCAGCTTTGGGGCTTCGGAAGCTCGCACTGCGCTATGGTCGTCAGTCCAGGGCAGGAGGGCGGCAGAGACCCTGTCAGCGGGGAAGCGACCTCCACCTCCCAGCTTCGGAGGTAGCAGTCCTGGTGCGGATCCAGGAAGGAGTGGCGGGGATAGATACTACGCCTGTATGCAGAAATGACACCCTTTCCTGTCAATAGCAGGGTTTAAATTTTTAAAAATCTAAACTAGAAAAAAACCCAGAGAAAGGGCCCGAGCCTTGTACATGCAGGGAGGCGTGGATAATGGTGTGTGCTCTCCAACCTTCAGGCATGAATTACCTTATCCTGTGTGAACATACAGCAGCCTTCACTTAAACCTAAGCTTCAGGCCCTATCTTTTCTTTTCCTTCTTCTTTTGTTTTTCTCTTTTTAAGCCCTTCCAAAGCCTGGTGTCTAACTTTGCCATCAGGATTCTGTGGTTTTTCCTAACATGCACACCTTCAACAGTACAAGTTCTTAACCTCACCACTGGGCTCTACCCCTGCATTTGATCCCTTGCTGCTCATCTAAAGCTGGGTTTGGGATAGAGGCAGTTTCCCTCTCCTGTACTGAGCAGGCTTTGTTTCCATTTGCCCACTTGTGTGGGTTCAGCTTTCCTTCCCTGCGGCCACTTGCCATCTCTCTTCTCTTCTCCAGGCTCAGGGACAAGATGTGTGTCCAGTAGGGAGCAGGCAGCTTGGCTCAGTCCCTCTAGTATTTGTGCATGCACACACATACACACACACACACGCAAGCACACACACATGTACACACACGTTTTTACTCTTCTGCAGGCCCAAGGACAGGAGCTCAGCTGTTAGAATAACTGGAAAGAAAACCAAACGTAGCTGGTCCCACTCACCTTGCTTTTGGGGTCTATTTCTAGGAGGCTGGTCTATGTGTTTGAACTGCACTGTATGACCCCAGGTAGAAGAGAGAATGTGTTTCACATGTTTTGCCTAACCTCCGCACTGCGGCAAAAGGAGCTGAAACTCCCACCCATTGAGTCTGGGAAGATTGGAGGGTGTGGATAGGGCTGAGAAGCGTGTGTGTGTGTGTGTGTGTGTGTGTGTGTGTGTGTGTGTGCTAGTGCAGGGAGGAGGCTGCAGGGTACGCATTCCCCAGAGTACTACTTGCTCAGCTCTGTCCATGTCTCTGATGGTGCCTTTTGGACACCAACCCTGATACTCAATACAGTGTCCCTAATGCTTTTAGGGTCCATCTGAAGTGGCTTCATTCTGGCCTTTTTGGTTAGCAGGGAGACATTCCAGACCCAGGTGCTGTCCCAAGCAAGCACCACAGTATAAGCTCAGAGAAGAAGGCCCAAGGACACTGGGTGGGCAGATGCACTAGGGGACATATACTCTAAGACCTCATCTTAGTTATCTATGTGGTTAGCAATACAGTTTAGACTAGAACTCAAGGTTTCAGGTGACCTGCCTCCTACCACATCTATTTCCCTGACCCCTCTTAGATCACCTCCAAATCTCTGTCTGGCCTATCATCTGTCCTATCTCCCTTGCCCCCCACCCCCACCCCAGTAGAAAGATGCTTCTTTAAATTAGCTGACCTAGCAGGTTTTGCCCTTAGGCTCTGCAGAGACAGTGAGGGCTCTGGCTGGCTTTTCAAAAATGCAAGGGTGGAGGAAGGGGTGCAGTGAGGTTTGGGCTCTTGGGGTGGATGGGAACTTGCTTGCTGGGAACTCTAGGCATGATGGTGGGGGCCTGCTTGCCAAACGAACTCTTGGTGAGGGACTGGGGATGGAGGGATCTGCTTGCAATCACCCCACAGGCTCAGGGCTTGGGGAGAGCTGCTTGCTGGTAAGCCGGACTGTAGGATTTGGGAAGAGGCGCTGGAGGTCTGTTTAAGATGGATCTGCAGATCAGCACCAGAGCTGCTTGCTGAGACTCGGAGCAGGGTTTCAGGGTGAGGGGCCGCTTGTAGATGCATCCTTTCCTTGGAGTTGGGGTCCTGCTTGCCGATGCATCCTCTGCATTCTCGGATGAAAAGTGGGATCTGCTTGCTGGGAAGGACCTTCCACTGGGGGGCGGGTGGAATGGAGCCTGCCTGCCACTCAGCTACCGGGCTGTTATCCGACCATGTGCTTTTCCGCCCCCAGGAGGACGAACAAGGGGATGAGAATAAGGCTCGAGGGAACTGGTCCAGCAAGCTGGACTTCATCCTGTCCATGGTGGGGTATGCAGTGGGGCTGGGCAATGTCTGGAGGTTTCCCTACCTGGCCTTCCAGAACGGGGGAGGTATGGCTTTTCAGCTCTTTCCACCTGCGGGGTGGGCACTGGGTGGTCAGAGGGGAGCTGGAACCCTTAGGCAGGGGCAGTAGGGGAAGCTCAGGGAGCCTCCTGGAACTCTAGTACCATCCCCTGGAGCCTTGTGCCAAAGGTGGGCAGGAGTGATAGGAACTGGTTGGTCCTAGCACCTGCAGGTGGGCTCAGAAGAAGAGAGGGGGACCCCAGGACCCTCCATTGGCTCTGTTTGGAGGACTGGGTGCCAAGCCAAGGGGACACTGACTTGAGAAGCCTGCACTGGCCATTTAAAATTTAAGAGTAGGCAAGTGCAAATGGCCAGAGCCTGCGCATCTCTTTCCCGTTAGCCAAAAGACCCTCTGAGTGCATTATCCATCCTGTACTTGCTCCTTAAGTATACTTCAGGTTTCTCAGACCAGGGAAATTTTGCAAATGGGAAAGAGGCCTAGAGATGAGGGGGAGGGGAAACAAAAAGAATTTTGATATGCAGGTCTCAGCTCCCCACGACAAATGTAATCTTCATGGGTTGCACATGTGCATTCATTAGAAAGATCCTTGAAATCTCAGTCTCTGTAAGAGACTTTGGGAATGGGCCCAGGTGTGGAGGGAGGGAGGGTGTAGGGGAGACAGGAGGTTTGAGCTGAGAGGGGCTGGGGGTTACCGCTCTCGGAAGTGCCCCCCGGCACAGCCCTCCTTAGGTGAGTTTTGATTTTAGCAAAGTTGTTTGCATTTGTCCTAACTGGGTGAGCAAAGCTTGGGTGAATGCACACTGTTTCCAGGCCAGCAGGTATTCTCCAGCAGGCCAGCAGGGCCATTGGTCTACTTGTCCCTCTGCATCCCCATGTAGGGAGGGATGGAGCCGTCACAGCCACGGCCCCTGGCTTTGCCTGCCCTAGAGGAATCCAGAAGCCCTCCAGGAGCTAACTGACAGGTTGACTGGCAAGAATGGGAGTTTCCACCAAGAAATCGCACCCCTGCTCATTTAGACTGAGGGAGTTAGAGGTGCCCCCCACCCTGGGTCACACCATAATTTTCTAAAAAAAAAATTATTTGTGTTTGGTCCCTTGGGTCTGCTCCAGTCCAAATTCTGCGTCCAGGGAGAGACAGGTGTTTCACCAGGAGATGAGTGAATTGCAAAAATAGCTGCCCTCCCAACCCCCAAGTAGGACTCCTTGACAAGGACTGATGGACACTGCGGAGCTTTTGCCACCAGGGGTGCCCTGGAAGCAGAAGACTGGGTTGGTCACGCCAAATAGGTGCCCAGCTGGGATTCCCTCCACTTTCTCCTGGGGCACCCTCAGAGCTAGGTACCTGAAGCAGCAAGAGGGAGGTGTTAGAATCAGGCTTCCCTGAGCTGGAAGGGGGTGATAGCGGGGTGCAGGGTGACCAGCGAGCAGAGGGACCCTGGCCCGTGGAAGTGCCCCCTCTGCACTTTCAGGGGATCTTCCAAGAGCACGGCTCTGTGCATGCTCTGAGTCCCGGGGCGGCCCTGGGTTCTGCTGCTCCTCGCTGCTCTGCAGCTCGGCCCAGCCAGCAGCATCTGCGCGGGCAGAGGGCTTGGCCCTTCTCTCAGGGGCAGAAGGGTTGCACCACTGACGTCGTCCCCCTGAATGCTGCTCAGCGAGGGTGAAGCAGCTTCCCCAGCATTGCTCTCTGCAGCCAGGGGCTGCTGCTGGGCCTTTTGGGCCTGGAGCCCCCCACCACCCTGGGCAGGAAAGGGGCAGGAAGGTGGGAGAGGGAGCCTCCCATAGCGGGCTAGCTGGGCAGCCGCTTGCTTTCCTACACTGAAGGCAGTGGGCTGGGCTCCCCCATCTCTGCTTGCGGGAATTGACCTTGACCTTAAACCCTTCCTGGTCCAAACCTCTTCAGAGATCAAGGCAATATTTCCCTGAGACCATCTAAAGAATTCTTGAAGGGAGAGAGCCCTAGAGAACCCAGGCACCCCACAAGTGATAGCAGGGTGCAGGGTGACCAGCGAGCAAGCAGAGGCATCTCCTGGGGCTACGCTGTGAGCTGGGCATTCTGAGGAATGAGGAGATGCCAGGCAGCCAGCTGCAGGAGGTGCAGGGTCTGAACAAGACACCCACATAGACATTAATCTGTGGCAAGATGCTGTTCCGTGCTCCAGAGGGGGACGGAGGAGAAGGGCGACCTGAGCTACCTGGGAGGATGGCAGAGCTGTGTGGTGCTGTGTGGGAGGCACCTGGGATGCCCCATAGGCAGAGCAGGTCTCATCCTGGGGGGCATAGGTGTGTAGGGAATTTGGGTTCCTTAGAGGTGGGCTGCCAGCATCCAGCTTGGCAGGGCTTAGGTCCATGGGGTCCACACTCTGGACCTAAGCCAGATCTGCCTACAGTAGTGAGTCCAAGGCATAGATTTGTTGACCCCTGGAAGGGCTTGAGAAATGGGAGTGTTATAAAGAATAAAGGCCACTAATGCACCATGGGGCACAGAAACAAGAACTTGCATGTGCGCCCTTGCAATTGTGAGGGACAGTTCTCAAAGGCCCTGTGGGTGCCCACTGAACTGGAATGTCAGAAGCTTCTTCAGAAAGGAGCTCACTGGAGGTCCCCTGGTGCACTGCGAGGGAGCCCAGCCCTACTGCCGAGGGACAAGGTGGCCCAGAACCCTGTCTGTACCTCAGCCTCTCATGCCTCACTCTCTCTCTCCAAGGTGCATTCCTCATCCCTTACCTGATGATGCTGGCACTGGCTGGGCTGCCCATCTTCTTCTTAGAGGTGTCTCTGGGCCAGTTTGCCAGCCAGGGGCCAGTGTCCGTGTGGAAGGCCATCCCAGCTCTCCAAGGTGAGCCTCAGAGCCCCTCAGCATCCCCACCCTGCCCACGCTGCCACCGTAGCTCCCAGGGAAAGAAGTCTCCTCATGAGAACTCACACCACCCTCGCTGGGTTTGAGCCTTCTGAGGAACAGGGCAAGACCGTGTCCACCCTTACTGTGTCCCTTGCAGAATGCCTCAATGTCCCCAGTAGACACAGCCTACTTCACTGTTAGTACACCCTGCCGTACAAGAGAGTGGAGACTGGGGCACCCACCCATAGCCCCATTGTAAGAATGCTGTCGCAGCTGGGATGGAATGAACCCTGGAACCCTTGCCTCCGCAGGCTGCGGCATTGCCATGCTGATCATCTCTGTGCTCATCGCCATCTACTACAACGTGATCATCTGCTACACGCTCTTCTACCTGTTTGCCTCCTTCGTGTCCGTGCTGCCCTGGGGCTCCTGCAACAACCCTTGGAACACGCCAGAGTGTAAAGATAAGACCAAACTTTTACTGGGTAAGTCTGGAAATGCATGAGGTGTAGTCTGAGCTACGCACTCATTCAACAGAGAGCAGTTGAACACACATCAGGCAACCAACACCCGGACTTACACTAGGCTCTGGGCTTGCAGAAACGAATTCAAACAACCAAACACACTTAATTCTAATGTTTAAACATCTCATAGCTCAGAGAAGGGCTATCACTTTTTTTTTGTCCACTCAGGTATCGCTGGACTGCTTGTTAAAACTGCAGACTCAAGTCCTACCTGGGGTAGGATCTCTTTTATTCAGTTAGGTGGGGCCGGGATATTTGCAGCTGTCTAGAATTGGTTTTCTTTCCTAGGGCATTTGCTAGACGGACAGCCTCAGCTGGGAGGTGGTTAGCAGCCTCTCCCCGAGGGAGAAGCGTGTGTTTTGCCAAGATCCTGAGTGCTGCAAATCAAAACCGATGCTTTATTTTAACTCCTAGAGTCTAGGAAATCCATGTAAGGGACCCCACGGTCACTCCACAAAATACCTCTCAGTTCAAGACGTAGATATGGAGCAGACATGTGGGCCTAGATCCTTGGTACACAGTGCATAATGAGTGCAGTTCAGGTCTGCGGGGCGGTCGGGGTGTCCGGTGAAGACCGCTCAGGGCACGTAGGGACTTTGGAGGTTTGTGGGAGACCACCTATCCTGATCGCTGTCCCCCGCTGGCCTCCCCAGCCAGCTCTTTGCCCTGCAGTCTGCACATTGCAGAGTGAGGACATTCTCTGCCCCTTTGGCTATGTTGAGGGCACAGGGTGACTCTCCTCCGCCAGCCCCATGAGTCATTCATACCGCAGAACTTTTACACATGTGTGCGCGTACGCCCACGCCACGTTTGGGCTCCACCTGGCCAGACTTCAAATGTGGCTAAAGAAGAACTAAAGCAGAGACACTTGCCCGTGACATTCCGACTCCGCGCCTGGGCACAATCGGGGAGCGCAGGGTGGGGCTGTGAAGGTTCCCGGATGTGTGATTCTCTGGTCTCACAACTAAGAGGAAGCATCCTTTAGCCCTCGGGGCTGTGGCACTTTCCTCCTATGGCTTCCTGGTTGACTGTCCTGTCGGTGAAGACAGCTGCTCTCCAGTCCACCTGTGAACCAGTATATCCAAGAGCTCAGCCCAGGCCAGGCGAGGGCGAGGGTGAGGGGCTGAGGGCGAGGAATCTGTGTTCTTCATGTTGCGCGAGTGGAGCCAGGAGATGGAACCCTGGGTGCAGGTCACCTGTGCCATTTTTGCTGCTTTGGTCGTGGACATTGAGCCCAGGGCCTGCAAGTGCTAGGCTTGCACCCTTCCGCTGAGGCACACCCAGCCCCTGCACGGCCTCTCACCAAGCTGTCCTCACTCGGCATGGACACGGAGTGGGTGCGTGGCCTGCCTTCCCTGCGCCACCCTTAGGTCTGTGGAGCTGCAGCCCGGGAGAACCGCATTTGGGAGCTGTTTGCAGACTGACTCCCGACACTCAGCTGTCAGAATGGCTTCCTGGAAGCGGCTGCCATGCTTCACAGAAGCCATGTGCCAGGGTGCGGGGTCTGGGATGAAGTGACTCACAGGCACGGGCCATCCAAAGCTGCTTGTCCTTCCCACACTGTGATTTCCGAACAGTGCTTGCTGGGGCAGGGCTACTGCACCGCTCCTGGCCCATGGGATGCTTCCCAGGGGACTCACCTCAGGAATCACATGAATCCCAGAGAGCAGTGTCCTGTAGCTGTCCTCTAGAGGGGACAGGAGTGTAGACACATCATTCTCCTCTGCCAACGATATCCTTACTATTGTGCTCTTAAGAATACTAACGAACCTCAGCCACTGCATGCCAAGCGCCATGTGAAAGCCCTTTTATGGTATGAACAACATTAAGGTGGACACGTGAATATAGAAGTTCCGTTACTGTGTGCACAGTACAGGTAAAAAACCCTTCAGCTTGCCAAGTTGCTTGCTGAGTGAGCTTGCCGAGTGGCGCAGGCCTGTAATCCCAGCACTTGGGAGGCTGAGGCAGGAGGACTGCTATGAATTTGAGGTCAGCCCAGGCTACAAAGTGAGTTCAAGGCCAGCCTGAACTGCACAGTGACATGTTGCCTTAAAAAGACAACAAAGCAAAACAAAACAAAAGTCCAAAAAATAAGCCCAAAACAAAACAAACACAAACAAAAACCTTAAGCACAAGGCCTAGAGCCAGCTGAGTGATAGAGCTGGGATTTGAACCAAGATTTGCAGACCCTCCACAGCCTTGATCCTAACTACTATGCTAAGCGCTTTGTAATCCGCCGCCCAGCTCTGCAGAGGATATGCCTGTCATTCCTCAGGGTTCCAAAAGGCAGGTGATCTGATCGCTGTTTTGTAGGTCACAAAGTAGACTGCAGAGCTTAGTAGTCTGTAAGGCACCAGGTAGCACCAGCCCTGGAATTTGGGTTGTGGGACCCCAGACCCTCCGCCCATCCAGGTTCTAGGGGAATCTTCCTCGCAGAGGTTCTGTCCCCTGAGTGCTAGTGACATGACCTCTTCCTAGGCTCCCTGAACTACTGCTTGGGGTGGAAACAGTAAGACAGTGTGTATGAGCAGCACTTAGGTTACTTAGGTGAAACTTAGGTTACTCTACTTCTCTCTTCATAGAGGAGCTAGACACAGGTAAACACTACTCAAGATTGTTAATTACAACTATACTTACAATATTGGAAAACAGTAGAGCTTCTTAAATGGGTGACAAAAATCTATATAACCATTGAGCAATGCCGTATTTCAAATCAACTATGGCTCATCTATAGGATGATGTATTCATAGTCATCAAATATGAATATTCATGAGCAGGGGAAATTCTTCCATATAACATTAAGTGTAAGAGCAAGATTCTGATTTATACTATGATGTTATCTTTATTGGCAGCGTAGAACACCTAGGAAGGTTATATACAAAGGATTAACAGTGGTGGACTGGGAGGCTTTCTTTTCCCCATGTTGCTACAGATGTGTATTTATTTTATCATCTCCACATATGTGTGTGCATATTTTTAACAGCAGAGCATCTTGACAAGGCCAGGGAGGGGGCTGGGGTCCTCGGGCAGGCACGCCCTTGCCCCGTATGGATGTGTGGTTCCCATTTTGGCTCTCGGGAAAGGTGAGAGGCACAGCCAGGCCTCAAATCAGCCCCTAACGCTCCCAAACTATGCACACTCGCAGCACAAAGAGACAACGGACATTTTTCACCCTGATTATTCACTGCGAGCCGATGGCTGGGCTGGGAAGATCCTATCTGGCCCTCAGCTGGGGCTGTAATGCTTTTTGTTTTGGTTAGAAAAATGGAGCCTCTGCCTCTCCCTTTCTCCGTGTGGCATACCCATCTGTCATTTTTGTGTCATCTGCGTGTCATCTACTCCCTTGCAGGGGAGTTGGTGCTGTAGGGAGAGTCAGAAAAGGTGGCCCGGGGCATAGGCATAGGTGGCTTTAGCGTCCACTTGCTCACTCTTGGACAAGTAGGTGTTCTGGGCCAACCTTGCAGGGACACCCAGGTCCAGGACGTCTCCCAGCAGCGTCCCTGGCCGACCTCCTGGCTCACCTTGTCTATCCGGAGGAGAAGTCCTCAATGGCCCGCCCTTGTGACCTTCATCCGAGTGGGCAGTGTGGGTCGCGTGCCCGCAGGGGAGAAGGGAGCCTTCGCCACACATTTTCCAAGGTGACATTTGTGTGGGGTGCTGTGTCCCTGAGGTGCTCCAGCTCTCCGAGGTGTGTAAAAGCTCCAAGTCACTGTCCCCTGCAGAGAGAGGCCAGGGGCTGCTCGGTGAAATGAGGGCCTCGCTGGGCCGCCGCGAAGGGCAGCACCCGCCCTAGCACTCCTGTATCTTGAATGGCTTGATTTTCATTAGGGCTTTAATTAAATGATCCCTTCCCTCCCCAGGCCTTCATTGATTGGTAATTGCCCGAGAAAAGAGAATCCAGTTCTGACAGCTTTCCAATTCAACCCCATCATCACCGCTGTCCTTTGTTCGGGGCTGCTGGACCACGCAGCTCGGATGAGCGGTCCTTGCTCCCTGAGGCCTGGAGCTCCGGGAAGCGCGCTCCTGCCGCCCGGTGGCTGGAAGCGGTATTGCAGCCTGCGGCGGCTGCCCAGGGAATTTTTGTGACTGTTGAAACGTGGACAAAGGAAAGGCCCAGGCCAGGCCTTCCCGCAGGGCAGAGCTCCAAAACCCGGGCGCTCCCTGCCTCGCTGCGCCACGGACGGGTAACTCCGAAGCATGTATTTCTGGCTCTGCCTTACGCTTTTTTCTCGTGGTACTTGAAATCAACTTTAACTCATTCCCAACATTTTGTCTCCTCCCTTTCCCCCGGTACTGGAGATTAGATTGGGGGCCTTTTTCGCACTGAGCCACATCCCCAGCCCTTTCAAACGTTTATTTATGTATTTATTTTCTAAGGTTTGAGCTAAGGCCTTGCTGTTGCAAAGTGTTCCCTGCTGAGCACAAAGTTCCACTCCTCCGGCTTGAGCCCCCAGAGCGCTGGAGTTATGGGCATGTGCGCCACTCCAGCTGAATATTTCCAACATTATAAAATGGAAAGCTCTCCTACGGAACTCCAGGTTTTCTGCGCGTTCTACCACAACACACAAAGCACAGCACAGACTGGCCGTGCGTTCTGTTGCTGCAGCCCCACCCCTCCCCACGGCAGCTTCGCGATCCCTCCTGGCGTCACCACCCTGGCTGGACTCTGCAGGCAGTGAGCTCACAACTGCCATTGTCTGTTTCGTAGTAGAGTCACTGAGCGCACAGACTGCAAAGGGAGGGGCGGTGTTTGTTTCACGGTTTGATGTCGGACCGTGGCCGGGCGCTGTGTCTCTGGGCCCAGGTTCTTTGTAACCCAGAGATATCTACAGGCTATCGCTCACAGGGCCGGGGAGGCCTAAAGTGGTCAGCGCGCGTGAAGGGCTTCCATCGGCCCCTGAGGCCCGGGAGGTGCTCCCCACTGTTCTTAGCGCTATTTGCTCATTTACACAATAGTATCATTTAGGATTGGTTCTGGGGAGCACATCCTATTTACCACCTTAGCATCCCTGGGGCACAGTACCAGACACACACAATTTGAAGGAGGAGAGGTAAGATTGGCCCACAGCCCTAACAGGGGTCAGTCCCTGGTCGCTGGGCGCCCAGGCAAAGCACTGGGGAGGAAGGGGCCTTGGGGAGGAGGAGACTGCTCATCTCCTGGCAGCCACGAGGGACAGGGACGCACCCTCGCAGGTCCCTCCCCCAGTGACCTCCTCCACCGGGCCCCACTGTGTAACAGAACGTTCAGCTCTGAGCCCATGGATGGACGAATCTACTGACGAGAATCGCTCCCGCACCCCGCCGTCGGAGCGCATCAGACTTGGGGGACAGTGTCGATCTAAGCTCTAGCACTGTTAAAATATGTGCCAACCTATCTGCTATTGTGATACGGCCAGAGAGGCCCTGGAGATTCCTATTTTCAGTTAAGATTATTAATCTATGCTTCCTGGGTTTTATGCAGACTTCATGAGTCAATAATTGTTAGAAGGGTGTGACACGGCACCTGACATTGTGAGATTCACATGCTTAATCCCCCTTTGTCCCAGCACAAGCGAGCGTTGGGGCTCACTGGGTGTTGTGGACAGTTAGGAGCAGGGTTTCTGACCACTGGGTTCCAGTCGCACCAGGGCCTCTTGACGTGAAAATTAAAGATGTCTCCAAACATAGCCCTGTGTCCCGTGAGATCAAATGTACTGGGAAACCCATGTGCGGTCTCCCTCAGCCTTGCCGGTGGAGCCGGTGTAAGTGGGGGTTGGAAGGAGACTGCAGAGTACTCAGAGCAGTGAGGGTGCTGGCCCTGGCGCAGGGGCCCAAGTGCGGGTTGATCTGTAGCTGTGCGTTCTGTTCGCCGGGGCCTGCTCACCTGTGGCTCAGTGAGTTTCTGCGCCCACTCTGTGCAGTCCTGGGGGTCTAGGCTTCAGGTCTGGCCCCCTTCCTCCGTAGCTGTGTGACTTGGTGGTTACCTCTTTGTTAACATTTTGTTTTGCACTGGGGACTGCACCCAGGGCCTCTGGACTGCACTAGACTGTTTATTTTTTGAGACAAGGTCTTTTTAAACATTTCTAATATTTTGTATGTGTGTGCAGTTCATGCAGTTTACCGTTGTCTTGGGGAATGTCTGTGTGTGGATGTTATGGCTTCTTTTTCCTTCCTTCCTTCCTTCCTTCCTTCCTTCCTTCCTTCCTTCCTTCCTTCCTTCCTTCCTTCCTTCCTTCCTTTTCTCTCTCTCTTTCTTTCTCTCTCTCTCTCTCTCTCTCTCTCTCTCTCTCTCTCTCTCTCTCTCTTTCTCCTAAGCTCCTTGTCTGTCTTTCCCTCCCTCCTCACCCATTTCCCCATCCTATTTGTCACTCCTGTTGATGTATTGCTTAGCTCCTCTTCGAGCCCATAACATTCACATTAATTGAAGTCGTCAGGGTCCCACACATGGCAGATCCTCCCCCTCCTCCTTCCCCTTTCTTCCTCTGCATCTGCCACCTTGGTTCCCTTTGGCAAGAGCTCCGTCATCCCCTCCTCCTTTCTGTCCATCCTTTATCATTTTCTTCGTTTGTTCTTTGCCTCCCTCGCATTAGAAGACCATGTGGTGTGCAAGCTCTGTGTCCACTTCGTGTCACTCAACATCACACTTCCGGGTGCATCTTTCTTCTCACGCACAGGACAGGGTCGTGCCAGTTGCCGGGCTGGGCTGGAATTGGTGAGCCTCTTGCCTCAGCCTCCCTGAATGCTGGGATTACAGGCCTGCGCTACCACACTGGGCTGAGTTCCTTAACCTCCTTAAGCCCATTTTCTCACTTAAAAAATGGACCCGGCATATCTCCTGCGTGGGCTGATGGGAGCATTAAGTGAAATAGGACCTGCATAGTGCTTATCCCACTACAGAGCATGCGCTCAAGCTCAAGCCCTGCTGGGCACTGGACGGCAGGGCGAGAGGACCACGGTTCCGTGGCCGTTCTCTGGCCTGTTTGGTTCGTGCCTTCTCAATGTGGCTCTGCCATGTGTGGTGGTTTCTTTTTGCTTTTGTTTGTGAGCTGGAAGAGAGAGACCGCAGCTGCTTTCTGCACCACTCTCACTGTTCCTGTCCCGTTCTCCCCAACGCAGACTCCTGTGTTATCAGCGACCATCCCAAGATACAGATCAAGAACTCGACCTTCTGCATGACCGCCTATCCCAACCTGACAATGGTTAACTTCACCAGCCAGGCCAACAAGACATTTGTCAGCGGCAGCGAAGAGTACTTCAAGTAAGGTGGCTGGGGTGTGTTGTGGGTGTGAGTGTGTGTGTCTGAAAAAGTCTTTCTAAGAAGGTCCAGTGAGTTCACAAGCAGCTTATCGGCAGACCAGAGGCGCCGAGGCGGGGTGGGGATGAGGGAGCTGCAGGCTGGTCACCCCACTTTCTCCTTTCTTAGCTACTTGAGTGATCGGGATAAAGACTTCTTCCTGGTTTTGCTTCTGCTTCAGTTACTCTTCTCTCCTTGCTGGGACAAACACCAACACCCAAAATGAAGGGAGGAAAGGTTTGTTTAGCCGACAGTCAGTGGAGGGTCCGGTCCATCCCCAGCTGGCTCCAAGTCACGGGGCACTAGCTAGCCTTTCTCCCCTCCTCACACTGTAATGCAGAGTATCTGTCCCAGGGAACTCACACCCATAATCCCAGCACTGGACTAAGAATCAATCACTAACTCTGCCCCATGACTGCATGAGCCTTTGGGGGGACAACTAGACACAGCATAGCAGCCTCCAAAAGCAGATTGCATGACAGTTGGTGGCACAAAGTCAGTACTGCTGCAGTTCTCCATGCAGGTGGAAAAGAAATAATTTCAGTTAAAATTTTTTTATTAGTATGTACGTGCAGGACACAATGATAACCTGCACTTTGAGGCACTGGTCCCTGCACAGAACGCATTGTAATTCTTTTTAGGTCCTTTCTGCTTGGTCGCCTTTCCATCCCTGTTCTCCCCGCTTCTTCCTACCATCTCTAACAAAGAAAATTTTTACAACTTTGATCCAGTGCTATCTAAGAGAACTTCAGTTCACCAGGTTATTTTTTCACAGTTATATTTCAGAAATAAGAGATAAAAATAAAAAAAAATCATGGTCAAAGCTGTAGTTTAAACAATTATTTTCTTCCTTTCTTTTTAAGTTTTTGAATTTATTTATTTTTGGTACAGGGTCTCGCTATGCAGCTCAGACTCATGGTGATTCTCCTGTCACAGCCTCCCCAGGGCTGGGATTATAGGCGTTTGGGGGGTGGGGTAGACACACAGCATGGGTACTGGGGATCAAACCCGGGTCCTTGTGCTTTGCCAGGCAGGTGCTTAGACTGTTGAGCTATCTCCCAGCTCTTCCTTTCTTCTTCCTCCTCCTTTACCTTAGTTTTGTATTTCTATATCTGTGTTATTGCTTTATTCCTTTTGGGATTGAACCCAGGGGATCGAATCTAGGGCTTCACACTGAAGTACAACCCCTGGCACCGTTTATTTTTTATTTTAAGACAGGGTCTCACTAAGTTACTAAATGGCTTGGACTGAGCTTACACTTGTGATCCTCCTGCCGTGGCTTCCCGGCATGCTGGGATCACAGACTTGTGCTCACGTCTGTGTCACTCTGGGTCGATGCCCCAGGCTCGGGGACCCGAGGACATCCTCAGCTTCCACAGGAATGTTTAGTAAAGCTCATAAAATAATTTCTTATGGGAGCTAGCAAGCCTGACTGAGGTAAATAAAGAACATTGTCCAGCTAAGCTTTAAGTTAGGAGCAATGGACTCAGAAGTCCTCAGGGGTTCTGCAGGGGACACAAGCTAGTGAAGTATAACAGGGACGCTGCAGAGAGCGGCAGGGACTGTGGGCTCTGAGCATGGGGACAGGAGGAAGGGACCGCTGGACATGAGAATAGCTGACCACCACAGGGTGGTGTGGGGGCTTTGGGGTCACTGAGGCCCTGGGGCTGGCCCTTGGGACTGGGCAAAGCTGACCCCACCCTCCATGCAGCCAGAAGCGCAGGCGCGTGACTCATAAACACGCTCTAGATGGCTTCTCCTCACCCCCCGGGGCTAGTGTTAATTTCCAAGGAAAAACATTCCTGGGAGCTCTGACTGGGACCCGCACAGTGTAGATGGCCGAGGTGCTGTGCCATGGATGGGTAGCGGTTTGCCCACCTGGGGATGGACCACCGGGAAGGTCCTTTGCATTGCTTAGGACATATAGGCCCCAAGGTCTGGCCTTACAGCCAAGCTCAGCTCCACTCCTGGGCCTCTTGCACAGCCCTGGGGTCCAGGCTTCTGTGAGTCTGGGGGCCAGACGGGCTCTGTCTGCCCAGAGCTTGAGGCTGGCTCTGTGCCCGTAAGGCCTGGGGTCTGGCTGAGCACGGGGCTGGTGGGTTTGGAGCAGTGCTGCCATCTCAGGTCCTCCCCACCCCACCGAGGCTCAAGGCCCTCAACAGACCTTCAGGGTCTGGATTGCAGCTGGCCTTTGTGCAGGACTCAGGAAAAAGTCCCCGTGCAAATCCCTCAGTGTCCCACCTGGTGCTGCCTCCTGGGCTCTGAAGGAAAGCAACTGTCTGACTGCGCTGCGGGGACTCTGTGTCCTTGGAGCTCCCTCCCAACCTCGGGGTCCTTGGGGCCGGGCTGCCCTGCTGGCCCCTGTGAGAGGCCAGGCTGTGACTTCAGCACTGGCAGCACTGACGCTGGGCTGGCCAGTGCAGCACAGGTGCTAAGCGTCTCTGTGTTGGCAGCTGCTTGCCTGGCTTTGAATCTGGTCCTTGAGTAAGGCCAGAGCAGCCCCTGTCTTACGTTTTAGCCAGCCTCAGCCCAGGATGAAAATGTAAACCAGCATTTTCAGTCATTTAGCACAACAATTTTTCTCCCTCCTCCTCTCTCTCTCTCTCTTTCTCTCTCTCCCTTTCCCTTCCTCCTTCTTTCCCTCTCTCCTTCTCTCTCCCTCTCAGCAGCACTAAGGATGGGTTGAACTTAGCCTTCCCATTGAGCTAGATCTCTAGCCTTTATAATTTATTGGTTTTGGGTAGGGTTTTGCTAAATCATCAAGTTGCCACTGTTGGGCTTGAACTTGAGATCTTCCTACCACAGTCCCCAGAATTCTGGGATTCCACCATCCTGTCTGGCTTGTGTCAATTTTTAAAATTTAAAATTGTACAAGTGTGTTTGAATAGCATGTCTCATAAACGAGTAGAACAATGCAGAAAGCACAAAAATCATCCTGGATGGCTTAGAATTCGATGGCACTTCTGGGACATGTGATGATGGGCAGGTTGCTTTGTATGGAATCCTGCATGGGCCATGAGTGGCCTCCCGGTGTACTTCCTGAGGAGCAGGGAGATGCACATAGTCTCACAGAGCCCAGACCCGCCCTCCCAGCCTGATGGGTGGGCAGCCAATGGGGAGCTGCAGGGGTTGCAGTTCCTGCCTCTGGCGGGAGATTAAAGCTTGGAGATTGTCACCTCTCCTTCTCTTTTCCCTCCTTCTGGTTCTTAGGTACTTTGTGCTGAAGATTTCTGCTGGAATCGAATATCCTGGTGAGATCCGGTGGCCGCTGGCCTTCTGCCTCTTCCTGGCTTGGGTGATCGTGTACGCCTCCCTGGCTAAAGGAATCAAGACTTCAGGAAAAGTAAGAGCTGGGATTTAACCGAGAAAGGAAAACCCCTGGCCCACCTAAGAGTGGTTGCGCTGTAGAGCAGTAGGAAGAGTCGGTAGGCTGGGCGCTGCACCAGGTTCCATGACACATTGGCTGGGCAGTGTGGGCAAGTGACTTTGGTGCCATCTATAAAATGGGTACAAAAACACTTTTCCTGCAGGGTTAAGGCCTCAGCAAGCCCTGAGGTGTGGCCGGGGACCCGGAGGAGTTCCTGTCCCATCCCCTCAAAGCTGCCTCTCTTTCTGCAGATGGAGCCTTCCTGAGAGTACTTTACTGCTTTCCTTAAACTCTAGAAATCTGTGCTGCTGGCTTTGTGCTGCTTGGTCCAGCTGCCAGGTCTGTTATTGCTTCTGCAAGAAGCTGGCTGAGGATCAGAATGGCGAGGTGGCCGCCTCCTTGCCACTGATTGCCTTGTTCTGGCTTTCAGCCCTTCTTCAGGCCTTGAGCCCAGCACTCTGTCCTCCAGAGCCCTGACGTAGGGCTGTCTCGTGCGGGTCTTTGCCTGAGCCTTTAGGAAATGATGGAGCTCCCTTCCCAGTTCTGTCCCAAGCCAAAGCAGAGTCCAGTGGCCTCAGGCCATGCTGTGCGTTGTAGGGTCTAATGGACACTGTTTCTTATTCCGCTGTCTTAGGAAACCCCCACAGACAGGCTAACCAGTGCCCCTTGTCTTGCCAAATAACCTGCAGTATTTCCTTGCTCTAAGAGGCAAGGCATGTTTCAGGGTGACAATGAAGATGTCGTCAAGACCCCATGACTGAAGATGTGATGGTGGACCCCGAGGCCCTAGGGTGTAGGTTGAGTTGGGTCCAGCTCTCCTGGCCAGGGTGTTCTGTGATCATATCATGGTCCACAGACTTGGTGAGGGTCGGGCCTCATGCGGAGGCTGGTGTGTCCACCTCGCACCCACAGGCACACCCCACAGTGCCCCCCAGGCACCCAAACACAGCCCCGTCTCTGGGCGCCTGGATGGGCTTGTGCCTCCTTCTTGGTTCCAGCACCCTTTGGCCCTTTCCACGTCACCTGCTGGCACAGGGCTCCAGCAGGTTTGGTGGGGTGACCAGGGGCAGGCGGTGCAGCTGACTCCTCACAGTGTGAGGAAATCCAGCCAGCCAGAGAGAACCAGACCGCAGGTGAGGAGCCCTTAACTCCTGGCCTCTTGGACTTCCCGAGTCATTTTCTTTTTAGGAAATTTCCCTTCGGGACTTGAAACTTGGCTGAGCTCTTGCTTTGTGATTAGCTTTTATGTTTCTGTCAATAAGCAAAAGGAACATTTAGTCATCTTAATAGTTTCTGGGGGCTCCAACTTCCACCTTTCTACCCACTGAACTGGGTCATGCCCGAGTCTTTCTAGCTGTAGCACTCTGCAGAGCACTTGCCATGTACTAGGATCCGCTTTCCCTGTCTGGACCTGGTTTCCCTTTCTGTAAAGTCACCCCACTGGCTTGGAGTGAGGGCCAGAAGGCTGGGTCAACTGCTTTTCTAAGGCCAGAGGAAGATAAGGGAATTAGTGTCCCTCCCAGCAGTGCCAGGGTGGCCTGTGTTCTTGAACACTTGCCTTCAGGGTGTGGAGCTGAGAGTGCATGGGAATTCTCCCAGCTTCAAAGGCCCAGCCAGGAGAGGGGTCAGCAAGACAGTGGGGTCTTTGCTCATCTGGTACCCTACCAGTAGGATGGTGAGGGGGCGGCTTCAGCCACGACCAAGCAGGTCGGGTAGAAAGTGAGACCAGCAGAGAGCACTTGGGTGGGGAGGGCGAGAATGGCTGTGCTCCTGGTGCTGGGAGGAAGGATGGTCGCGTGGGCTCCGGAGGGAGGCCAGCGTGAGGCAGAGCCCAGGATTTGCCACTTGCTAGTGGAGTGCTGTTTGCTAGTTGTGACTTGGTGCTTGCGTTTTCTACTTGTGAATTGTTTGGTAATCTGTAGGTTGGGGATAATAGAACAGTCCTCACAGGACTGTGATGAGGAGCAAGACGGTGCTTGGGAAGTGTGTGGCATCTGCCCAGGGCTTCAGGGACTTTCCCTCTTCTCCTTCAGTTTTATTGCGAGTGCCTGGGGCATTGAGTGGGCATCGTGTTCCTTGGCATCTGGCAAGCAGTGGCTTTGGGGGAAAATGAGAGGACAGAGGGTGCATGGATCCCCTGTGCCACCGTACCGATCGCTCTGTGTGCGTTGGTTCACTCTGTTCTGGTCACAACCACCCGCCGATGAGTACATGGATTCCCCTTCTCTAGACAGAGAAGCAGAGGCTCACTGGAGTACAGAGAATCACCTACAGCCACTCAGCTTTTAAGGGCAGAGGTGAGATTTGAACTCAGGTCTGGCTTGCTGTAAAACCTAGAATCTACCTGGCATTCTGTCCTAAGTAAAGAGTGCTGGGAGAAGATGGGAAATGAAAACTATACCCTTGTCACTTGCCTATAGTGGGGATTAAAGTAGCTGGTGGTGGCGCAGGAGCCTGCATGGCCCCCTCTTTCTGCTGTGTGTGGCTGTGTGACATGGAGCCAGTTACAGGCTGCATCAGGGGCTTATGTTCCTCATTTACAAAATCAAGGGCCAGAGTACATATTCCCTGAGAGTCCAGTAAGTTCTATTCATTGTGCTTTTTGCAATGGCGCTATAGCCAGTTCTTTAATCCTAGGCACTACGTTCTGTAGGCCTTCCAGAGCAGAAAGTTGTAAGCAGGTACATTTTTCTTTTATCCCAGCAAACTTATCTTCCTGCTTCACTGAGAAAGGTTTCCAACCAAAGACTAATTTATTAAAAAGCAAGGAATACCAGTGGAAATAATGAATCACAATTTATTATCGTGCCCTGGGTCACACAGACATTAATCATGGAAAATTACCTGGCGCCAAGGTGAACGCAAGGCTGCAGCTGCTCTCCCCGCGATGGAAACTCCACAAGCACTGTCATTCCTGTGCGGCAGAGATCTCCTCCTCTCCCTGCAGCGTGATCCGCTCGGTTCTTCTGGGCTAGGACCCAGGAGCCACAAAAAAGCTGACTGCTTCTTCTGAGACTGAAGCCTTCGAGCAGCTAGAACCGCAGAGGCAGGGGCAACCTGCAGGCCACCTGAAGGTCAAACGCAGTCCACCTGAGCTCAGAGCCGCGCTGCCTGAACGTTGTGGCAACAGAGTGAAGCCAACCTCATTAGCTTGGGCTGGCTGCTGGCTCCTGACCACCTGCACAGGCCTCCTGCAGGGTAGGGGCTGCCTCAAGAATGACAGGCTGGTGTTAGCTAGGCACTGTCACTCCTGCCCAGTGGAATTCATTACAGCTTAAGTTGAATTCCTCTGATGGCCCATCCTGATGCAGGTGCATGCTGGGGCCCCAGACACAGGGAGCAGCCCATGCCTAAAGCCTCCACACACACCTTCCTCACAGATGAGGCATCCTCAGATCTAGAAACCAAAATGTCAGCCCTGTTAGCTCCCCAAGGTCATCAGCTATAAAGGGACTCTGATATCTGAACCCAGGCCAGGAGCTGGTGGGCAAGCAATGGCTTAAGGGGCAGACCCTAAGGAAGCATTCAGGTTCCTGAGGGTCTGGGTGCCCCTGAGCATGGAGGTTTCCTTAAATCTTACATCCTGGGTGCCTCCTTAACCCCCCCCCCCATGGCCCATGGAACAGGGTAAAGAGAAGCGGTTGAGTGAGAAGCTCCTTGTTTGGCTCTGGGCTCAAGGGGGAGACCTTGATGGAGATTTTGAATCCCTTGTGAGATGCTTAATGTGGAACCCCAGCCTCCTCCTGTACACAACAGGGCTGAATGGCACACCTGGTTCACAGAGGGCCCTCCAGGAGGGGCAGTACTCGCCTATCCCCCGACAGACAAATGGGGACAGTGATCTCGGCTGGCCACACTGCATCATTCTTAAAGCTAAGCATCTTGCAGTTGCCTTCTGTGGACACCTGCCAGCTACTTATTACTTCTCCTTTGTTCCCATGTGTCACCTTGCTTTCCCACTGGCCCAGATCAGGTGGCCCTAGGTTGTCCCCTGTACCCGCTGCCATCTTGGTGGGGGTGGAAGTCAGACTGGTCGAGACCACCAGGACTGCGTGCTTTCTGATAGCGTCTCTTCTTGGAGGAGGAGAGAAGCAGTTTTGCTGATGGGAGGGAGCTGGCTGCCTCCCCCATCTCCCCTCTGCAGACTGCCATTGCCAGTTCTTGGGGACCCAAGGGTAGGACAGACTGCTATCCTGAGGGGAGGAGAGAGATGCGCTGGCCAGCAGGGGCAGCAGTGAAGAGAAGAGAAGGGGACCAGCACATCCCTGGGTCAGTGGCCAGACAGTCAAGCGCACTGCCTTGACTAGCTGGCTTTAGACACTAAGGTCCCTTGGCCTCTCGGGCAAGTAGGAGCTCCACCCTACTGTATCTGAGGCCACTCTGGGCTCCTGTCCGCCTCCCTCACACCACATTAGCTACAACAGGAAATTCCTTTGCTCTAATTGAAGATGCACCCAACCTCTGTCTGTCATCAGCCCCCATTACATTTTGGTCAAAGCCATGGCCATTGCTGGCCTGTTTTGCAGTCCCAGGCTCTTCACTATTGTCCCTGGTCCCCTGCAGGTCACTGGCCAGACAGCACTAGGTAACCCTGTTAAAGCTCTAGGCCTCTGCCCCAACATTGGTCACGGTCCCCAAGATCTGTACCAGGCCCTGCCCTACTCTGCAAGCCGCCCCTCCCCTCCCCTGCAGAGTCCTCTCCTGCTTGGGCTGCTGGCTGCCTTGCTGTCCCTGAGAGTTGACGTCCACTCTCCTGAGCTCCTCATGCCAGCTCGTCCTGCCTGGCATCTTCTCTCCCATCTCCAGCCAACTCATATCTATTTCTGCAAGGTTTGGCCGGTTCTCAAGGAGGCCTTGCCTGGGTGCCAGCTCAGTTTGGCCCTCAGGCCGCCATCTTTCCCACATGCCCCCTCTCCCTACCCCACTCTTTTTTCTCCTATGCACATCTCACCGGATTTGCTTAGTGGTAAGTCACAGAGACATGACTGTATGCAGCACATGCAGAGGCTCTAAATCCATCCAGATGTACATGTGAACAGGTTCTTTGCTTGAAGAAATGAACCTTAGGGGCTGAACCTGAGTCCCAACTCTGCTCTTCCCTCACACTTCCCCCTTGCAAGTCCCTGTGTCAGTCCCCATCCTGAGATTCCAGGGCCTGCCACTGGCTTCCAGCCTCTCCAGGGTGTGCAGCTGGCATGTGGTAGGGTCTCTGTCCCTCTTACAGGGCCTTATGTCCAGGGGGCCCAGGCTGGCCACTGGGAATGAACACAGCTGTAGAGCCTGCCCCAGGCACCAGAGCAGGTATGATCGCCTAAGTGGGCACTTAGATTCATTTTGCTGGTGTCTCATTGCACACTGTGGGGATGGAGTCTCTTAGGAGCCAACTGTTATGTCAGTGTTCTTAAATTCCGGACTGCTGAGTCCCAGACAAGCTTCTCAAGGGGCATTTTTGTTTCCAGTGTCCCTGAATCTGTGTCTCTTTGCATGCATTGTCCCACTGTAGACTTCCAGCAGTGCATGAGGAACGCCCGTGCTTATGTGGTGGTGACCTTGTGGGTGTGGACAGGGAGACTCAGAGAGGTTAAGTCCCACGAAGGCCCCACCTGGAAGTGGTGGGATCAGGATTTGAACTCAGGCTTGCCTGACTGTGGAGCCCGAGTGCTCATAGTTTATGCTTCTCCTTCATCTGTCAAATCCTGATCTCAGGTCTTTCTTCACCTGGAAGCTTGGCTGACAGGTAGAGAATGAAAGCACTCCCTGCCCCCTCACAGCCCCACCCCCACAGCCCTGCCCCCCACAGCCCTGCCCCTCCACAGCCCCACCCTTCACAGCCCTACCCCATCACAGCCCCGC